AACATAAATTTGTTCTGAAAACTGAGAATTACACACACAATACCATCCATTCACCTTCCAGAAGAAATCAAAGAATTATATGGAAAGAATTATCCATAAATCTGTATCTCATCACACACATTCCTAAATTTCCAAAACAATGTTTATTCCTATTCAAGTAAAAAGAAAAAAAGAATCCTATCACATATCTTCATCGGAATCTGTCTCTAGAGCACCATCTTCCCCAGGTTCCACAATACTAAGACAGATATCCGCAAACTCCGTGAAGATTGGTTCTCTCATGGCCCGGGCAATGTGAACTTCTGTATTGGATGCACTATCCACTTCCCTCAGAATCTCCCTTAAGTGGGGGTTGCGAAGCACAGCTTGTAGTCTTCTTGAGGATCCTAAGAGAACAAATGGTTATTAGTGAACACAAACATAGTAAAGTGTAAAAAAAGATTAAAGGGAAAATGCCCAGAATTAAGAAATGAAAGTGAATTATCACATTTTGATTCTTGGCTAGTTTGATATGTCATGATTCAATTTCAGTTTTTTTCATGGTTATCAGCATTTTGAATCCATTTTTCTGGTATCCTGAGTCAAAAATCCATTAAAAATATGATGCAAGGTTGAATTACAGTAAAATAAAAAAAAACCTTAACACAATACTGAAAAAACAATACAGAAATATTTTCTCAAAAAATACATAATAAAAATACATCAAAATTACTTATATGCACAGCATCCCAACTTATATATGAGTACACCAATTCATTGACTATATCATACCACTAAAATACCAATTCAGATTTTGGGGATCTATCCCTTTCCTTTTCTACTAGTTTTACCAAAGAAAAACATGACAGATATATCCACTATGTTTTAAAATTATTTACTGAAAATTTAAAGTCTCACTATCAAGGCCTTTGGGTATAAAGACTTTCTTCTGTCATTTTGTAAACTTTTCCAATTTTCCATCCCAGGTTTGAAAATACATAGAAATAATAATACACATAGAACAAGTATAATTATAAAATACCAAAACAAAGTTAATTTTTTTAACACATTTCACAAAGGACTCACTCAGTTTCTCTAAAGTCTCTGGCAGGACTGTATCATCAGTTGGGAAAAGTACATTTTGCGATGATATATTTCCTTTCGTGTCGATCTCCAAGGTCACGGTCGGCTCTGGCTGCTTTGGTGTGCACTTTCCTTCCTTGTGGCTCTTGAAGCAGACCACACTGCAGCTAAAAAAAAGAATGATACTTTTTAGCTATACCTATCATTAGAAAGCTGAACAAGCTAAAACAGCTAACATTTTGAGGGTGATGAGAAGCAGAGTCTCCTATACTAAACAGTACACTTTGCTACAAGTGTTTTTTTTTGTCAATAAGGGAGAGCATGCATACAGTATAGACAACTTCAGATTGAGAGGTCTCTGTGTGAAAAGAGTTAAAAAGGATTATTAGAATAGTAATTGGACTTCAAAACCATATAAGTGTACAGAAAACACATTTTATGTTATAGTACCATATTACTACTGATTCTACATCAAGCCTATATAGCTATGAGAAAAAAAAAATATATATATGCAGTAATCTGAAGAGGAAATGGAGAATCTGCTGGCTATAAACCTAAATGCTAAACATATATACAGAGTAATACACAGGTTGGCAGATATATGCGCTATTGGAGTGATTAACCCATTGATGACAAGATAGCATGGCTATGTAGGCTACACTGTCATTACAATCTATTAATTTTGCTTAAGTGACTTCACAAGAGTTTAGTCACCAAGGAGTCAGTCACTAATCCTAACTAACTCACCTTTTCCTTGATTTTTTGAAAGACTTATCTTTTATCTTACACTACTATTAATCTTGAGAATACCATTATAATAACCCCAATATCAATGCTAATGGCAATAACAGTAATGATATTAATAGCATCAGAAAAAAAATATTTCTTGGAAGAATGGGAATATCAGGGGAAGTCAGCTAAGCCTAATAATTGACACCTAATTGACTCATACAATTCACCAATAAAAAATAATTAGCAGCCTATACCATTTAAAAATATATATACAGTATAGTAAATCTGCATATTTTACAGTAGTCCAACACCTTTCACATATTTACTTTTAAATGCAGAAACTGAAAACTAAGCATACAAGCACTGAGTCTGTACATCAAAGTGTACAATCAGGATTTTATCCAAGTCTGGAATCAAGGCTCTTTCAATCAAAGATCTTTGGCTGCTAGCTCTTTTTTAAATTTTGTACACCGGCAAACATTTTCCATCATTAACGTCACTGGCACATTTTGGTATATAAGTATTCAGTATTTGAACTCTTTTGGCATATATAAAATTTGGTCTTGATGTACATCTCTGGCAGACATGAATCACAGATTCCAGTATGGATTTGATCTAAAACTGCAGTCAGAATTATAGGTCTAAAATTCACAAGGAATTGGTTACATATCAAATACCAGGAATGACACTTGGGATGTGTCACTAA